GAGTTGGGGGGTTAACGTTTGTAAGGCTAGCTATAGAAATTTGGGGAGTTGGATAGGGTGGCACTAAAGGGGAGGTGGGAAGTGGGGTGGGTGAGTGGGGGAAGCAGTGTGGGGCTGCTGGTTTTTGTGGTCCTTGTGTGTGTTTGAATGTATTTCTGTTGTTGTAGTAGAGGGTGCTTGTGTTAGGGGATTGCAGAGTTTAGGGGTTGTGTAAACTTGGGAGGCCAGTGGGTGATGAGTGTGTAGGAGGGAGGGGTGGTCTGGTGACTCTGGAGGGTGGGAGGGGAAAGTGAGGGCTGGGAGAGAGAGTGGGTGAGAAGGGGCAGAATGAGTTGTTTGAGAGGGGAACAATGGATTTTAGCACATGAGAAGGAGGGAGAGTGAAGGGAGTGAGAGTAGCGATGAGAAGATGATGGTAAAGTTGATAGTATAGAAAGAAAAAAACAGATAATAGGAATAGAAATAAAAATAGAAAACTCACAATAAGAAAACAAACAAAAAACCCTAAAGAAATCAATGGGAAAAAAACAAAGAAACAAACAAGAAAAAGAAAAATAGGAACAATAGAATTTTAGTCTTAGTTTAAGTTCTGGAGTTACTCCTCTGGCATCCAGTCCTGGTATTGGCGTATAAGCAGAAGCTCTGTTGTGGTCTCACCAGGTTATTGGCTTGTGAGTACTGGTTTGTTCTGTCTACCAGTTAAATTGAAATTGTGAGGTGAGGTAGCTTTGCCTTATTATGCAGAGTGGTCAGAGATCCTGATTTCCTCAGCTGATGGCTGTGTTACCCTTCAGCTGCAGCTGCTTGGGCAGCTCCTCTCCCAGTGAGGTATGGCAGTTCAGGTTCAAGTGGTCAGCTCTGTAGTCCACTAGATGCCCTGCTTTTCTCTGTGCTTGTTTACTGGGATTTCTGTGCTGCGGGCTTGTTTCTTTGCCCAGCCTCCTTTCTCTGGGGCAGGGTCAGTGTTCGTCAACCTCCCCTGCTGTCAGTGTGTTACGATGGTTTGCTGTTTTTCAATTTTGCAGAGCAGTTTGACTTTGGGTGCTGGTCACTGGTCCAGGAGATGAGCTCCATTATCCTCTATCTGCCCTGCTTCAGGGAGTGACTTAGCTGCCTGCTCTCAGCCTGCCTGCCTTTCCAGGGCTTGTTTTACTACTGATAGTTGGTGCTGAGATTAGTTCCTTGCCCCTTCCCCTTTCTCTGGTGCATTTTCAGTGTTCCTTCCCTCTCTGCTGTTGTGCTAGATTACAGTTCACTATTTGTTACTCAGTGTTTTTTTGGAGGTAGGGGGGTCAGTCTGCCCAGGGGCTGTGCTGGTTTATCCCGGGGTGGGGGGGAGGCGGGGGAATTCGCAAGATGCGTGGCACTCACCTGTTTGGTCTGCCAAATGTCTTGGAGGCAGGTTTGGAGCCCAGGGCGGCAGCTGAGGTGGTGGTGGCAGCCCTCAAGTTTTCTCAGTGTAATGTGCTGTGGGGAAGCTTTCCACAGGCTAGGGGTTTAGGGTGTCGAAGGTTTGATTCTGGTTGGTGCTTTATTTCCTCTAAGTGTGGCTCCAACATCTCAGGAAGGCTTTGGAGTTATGGAGCTCATGATACCTGCTTTGGTACCCTAGTCACCATCTTGGATTCTCTCCAGATAGATTTTTAACCCATTAGTTGGATGTGTAGGATAAAAACTTGGTAATTTAAACTTGAGTAGAACTTGAATAATTCATATCTAGATAATTGAGGGGTTTTTTTTTTTGCATTTTCATATGTCAGTCATTGAGTAGGAAGACTATTTTAATTTGTCTGAATAAGCAGCTTATACTATTAATTTAGCAAGTACCTACTAATCATTTATACTAACGGTTTCTCAAGGTCGGCATTATTGGTATGTGATGTTAGCAGCATCTCTGGTCTACTAGATGACAGTAGCTCTCATTCCAGTTTTGACATCCAAAAATGTCTCTAGGCATTGCCACATGTTCCCTGAAATGTAATGTTCCCCAGCTCAGAACCACTGCACCTCATGAAAGACCCTGAGGATGGAAAGACACTGCTAATACTTTTAAGCCATTTACTGCTGAGTAGTGGAATATGTTCTTCTATAGTACAGTGTAGAAAGTACTAAGTAGTAGTAAGTACAGACAAAATGCTTTGGGAGTTCCAAGAAAGAACTCCTTCAATTAGGAGTAGCAGGGAAGGTATCAGTGAAGAACAGATGTTTTTACCAAGGGCTAAGAGAAGAACTAATTTTACAGAAGAATTCATTCACAAAGGCAAAACAAATGTTATCTAGAGTACAATAAGATATAGTTCATTTTATAGGTGGCATACATAAGTAATGTAAGGGAAAAGATATAATGGAACTAGATCTCAGAAAACAGTTGGGAGGGCTGGTGGAGTGACTCATGGTAAGAGCAAATGGATCTGTGAACTGCCTAGTTTGGAACCAATAAAATGTTTGGATTTATGGCAACTCTCAGATAAGGAACTAAATATAAAATTGAGTAACTTTCTTTTTTTAGCCAGAAAAATCATTTAATCAAAATTTTAAAAAAAATGGCCATCTTAACTTTACATTCATACAGCTTTTAGTTTATAAAGAAATTTCATAAACACAAACACTATCTCATTTGAAAGACAAAATGGGAGATTGACAAGAGATTTTTAAAAACAAACAAAAAGAAGTAACTTTTTAAAGAAAACTTACTAATATAATTTCATGATTACAGAAAAGTTGCACAGAACTAATACAAAGGTTTTCATTTACTTTGCCTCATTTGGTTCTCTTCTGTATATATATATATATATATATATATATATATGTGCATATTTCACCCTGAACTATTTGAGAGTACATTTGAGGAAGCATCAAACCTTTTTTCCCTAAATGCATACCCCCCTCCAAGAATAAGAATATTCTCATACAAAACCCACAGTAATCAACCATGAAAATAACACAGACCTATTATCTAACCCAAAGTGTATATTTAGATTTTTATCATAAGATACCTTATCTTCTAAGGCTTTTTCTCTTTCTTTTTTTTTTTTTTTTTGCAGTACTAGGGTTTGAATTCAGGATCTCATGCTTGCTAGGTAGGCACTCTGCTAACCTTTTTTTTAATGTAAAGTATTTTTGAGATAGGGTCTTGTGAACTATTTCCTCAGGCTAGCCTGGAACCTCAGTCCACCTGGTCTCTGTCTCCTCAGTAGCTAGGATTATAGGCACGGGGCACTGGCACCTAGCCAGGCTTTTTCTTAATGGAAATAGGGGAGACAGTTCAGGATCTAATAGAGGTGTATTGCACTCACTGATAGTCTTCTTTAACTTTAATTTGAAAGAGGTTCTCAGTCTTTTATCTTTTTTGACCGTGATAGTTTTCAACAATATAAGCTAGTCATTTAGTAATATGTCTCTCAATTTGGGTTTGTCTGTTGTTTCATTATTGCATTTGAATTAGACATTTTGTCTGAAATTCTACAAAAGTGATATTTTGTCCTTTTAAGTAAGTGCATCATATCCAATAATTGTCCTGGTATAGGTGATGTTATATTTTGACATTTGGTGGTGTCTGCTAGACTTCTTCATAAGTTAAACTCAGTAACTTTTTTGTAGGGATATAATTTGAAATTATTGAATTTTCAGTGATTAGCTTTAGGCTCCACTGATTTTTTTAAATCTTTATTATTTCCCCTATGTGGTTTGATTAGCATTTTGTTACTTTTCTTTTTTTCTATTTTGAGCTTTTCTTTTTCATTTTTTTATATTAATAAGGACTGGTGTGTTTTATTTTCATTGATATATAATCCATTAGTGTCCTTACATACTTTGGAATTCAGATTGACCCAGTCTCATCTTCTTCATGATTTCTCTGTTTTGGCCCCATAATCCTTTAAACTAAGCATTTCCTTATTCTCTGGCATAAGACATACCAGACTTGATTATGCTTTTCCTGATCCAGTCTTGGAATTAGCCTTCTCTCCAAAGAGCTCTGATTTGTTTTGGTGGACAATGGTTTTAAAAACCAAAATTGTTGCATCTTTTGTGCCTTTTCTGTAGGAAAAGCCAGGAAATAGATATATGTGTGTACATTTTCATGCATATATACATGTCTCTATTTTGATATTAAAAGCCATGAGTTTTAAGCTAATGTCTTCAATTCGAAACAATACATTTTAGTTTCAATCTTATTTTTGTATTAGTGTCCCTTCTCCAATAATGAGAAACTTTGCTCCTATTATCTTCAATGTATTTATTCATTTGTTCAAGTCTAGAACACAATGTATACAGTTCTTTTCATTTTTAAGGGCTAATTATATAATTAAGTGAAGTGCACCAAACTTACAGGTAGGTGCATTTCAACAAAGGCATATACCTATTCAATCTATGTACACCTGTTGAGATACAGACTGTTTTCCTTACTCTTTGAGTCCTTTCCTAACTAATCTTCCAACCATGAGAAACAACTTCTTTTTGGATTTTTTTCCCTACTGTGCATAAATATTGCCTGCATTAGAACATCATATAAATAGAATCACTCTATGTATTTCTGTATGTTTGATTTCTTTACATATCCAAATATCTGAGATTAATTCATATTAGCTGTTTGGTTGAGGGGGTTTTTGTGTTTTGTGTGTGTGTGTGTGTGTGTGTTATGCATATAGAGTGTTCAAGGTTTTGAGATGCATTTATTGGGAATAATAGGGAAAAATTATCTCATGTTTGGATTTGGATTGTTTAAATGTTTTCAAGTAGGAAATAGTCCAATAAGAACTTGCTTTAAAATGCTCAAAAATATTTTATTTCTAAAAATATTTTATCATTGCAAAAAGCTTTGAACTCCTTAAGAAATGTTTAAGTACCAACAAAGAAAATATTTTATCATTTTGGTAAGCTGATAAAGATGTAAGATTAAGTGCATCCTTTATGGTATGTGAGTTTATAGAGTTCAGTGCATTCTTTACTATGGACATACATGTATTTATGAAAACATACATATTTCTTCATTCTCTTAGGATTGTGTACGGAAGGACTCTACCGTGTGAGTGGAAACAAAACTGATCAAGATAACATTCAAAAGCAGTTTGATCAAGGTAAAAAGATAATTATGTAAAGTAAAATCATTGTTTTATTGTTTTCCTTATTAGAATTTCATGGTTTGAAGGTTTATTTTTATTTACAACTTCCTGAGGGTATGGATATTGAGAGGAGAGAGTTCCAAAGTGGAATTAGAAATATTAAATATAATGGATGCCACAGTAAAGGTACAAGAGAGCTAGGAAAAATCTATTGTCCTTACACTAGCAAGAACATTACTGATTACTTTAGCGCCTTTTGTTATTAAGGAGCTAGGTACTAGGGAATTATAACAGGAAGTTGGAACTATGAAACTTAAAATACATTTAGAATAGAAGACAATTAGGAGCTGTTGGGTCAAGAAAGTACAGTATTATGTGTAGGTAAGTGTGAAGACAGAAGAGGTGCCAAGAAAGGAGGTACTGAAAAAGAAGGCACTCAGTATTAAAACAGAGGCTATGATAGGTCTAGAAGGAATAGAATGGAGCTGTATTTATAGGTTTTTGTTTTAGAAATAATGAGAATCTATTTCACATCTTGAAACTGCAGAGAATAGTATAAAATAAACATTTTTTTGAGGTAGGATAAAGATACATGATGGCCCATGTGTTCTGTTTCTTCCCATGTTTCATACTCTTAACTCAATAAACTATATCACACATAAAAGACTGACGACTATATAAATGCATCATCAGAATTAGAAAAGCAGTAAATTGACTTAGGATGGATTGCCATCTTTGTATATCAAAGATAGTGCTATGAAAAACTGTGTTTTTTTCTTACGATATTGGATAACTATCCATTAGGAGTAAAAACAGAGCTGAATTCCCTTCTCATGGGTAAATTCCATATGTAATCAAAGATTTACATGTGAAAAAATGGAAATCAAAAGTACTAGATATTTTTATAGTCTTGGAATAGGAAAGTCTGAAATTTGACATGAAACCTAGAAAACAAGAACCAAAATAAACTGGAGTACCTAAAAATGTAAATACTGTATGAGAATGTAGATAAAACATAAAATCAGGAGACAAACTAATCTTGAGGGGGTATAAAATGCCTTTACTAAATTAAGCAATTTATATCAGAGAAAACCACCAATAAATATTTGAGAAATATGATCAGCCATCAGAATAAAAAAGTGTTGGTGGGATAAAGGAAAGTAGGTGTCTTGTACACTGTTGGTTGTGGGTGTCTTTTGAGAGACAGTTTGTGAATATATGTTAAAATTCAGGTGGCTTTGTTAGAGAAATTCTACTTAAAGAATTCATGTTACAGAAGCCGTTGTATAAGCAGACAAAGGGCATTTACTGCAGCATTGTTTATAATTATAAAACAGAAGGTAGGAGAACCACACATTTGTCTACAAGTGTTGAATACTTGGTAGCCATGTAAAGTATCCGTTTGTTTTATAGAGTGGCAAAGTATCAGTTGAGTGATAGGTGTGTACAACTAAGCTATGTGTCCAAAGAGTAGTCTACTAGCCATTTTTTCAAAATACTACATTAGAGACACTATTTACTTTATAATACCAAATTGGTAGAATTTCACTTCCACAAATGAAGACAAGGGTGGTAGTTAATACCAAGGCTCTTGGGTTCAACTCTGTGGTTATGTCTTCTAGTCTTGCCACTTTCTTTGTGCTCCAGGCTGCTTAATTTTTCTAAATCTCAATTTCTTCATCTCTGCCATGGAGGTGATAAGAGTAAATGTGAGGATCATTAATGAGATAATGCATATGAAGAATTTTCTGTTCCAGACAACCATATTAAATGTTGAAAGAATTATGAAAGGAATGTAGTCTAAGGAAATAAGCTTTAATACATAAAAGTGCTTATCAAATGCATTTTCATAATATTTTTCAATGAAATACACTTAAATGTTCACTAGTAAAATACTATAAATTGGTCAATCTGGGGAAATACTTTGTACCATTAAAATTGTTTATGTAGAAAAGAATGTTAATTGGTGATTCTGGGTTAAGGATGTATGTGATTTGTTGGAAATTATTCTTGTTAACTTTTTTGCAAGTTTTAAATTGTATTACACTTGAATGTTGCCCAGCAAAGACAAAATGTTTAACCTTGCTTGTGAAGTTTTAATAACTTCAGATATTGCCTAAAGATGTATTCAAATATAGAAAGTATAAATGGGTGATTTAAAAAAAATTATCAAAAAGGGCTGAAAGGAAATGGTACTATATAAAGTATAAGTAAGCACTGATTGTCTCTAGGTGAGAGTGATTTGTTTTTTCTTTTTCTGGTCTTTATTTTTACATTAAGTGATTTGTTAATATCAACCCTTGATATACACTCTTAGTATGCTCCATTCTTGTTTTTGTTTTGCAGTATTGGGGTTTGAACTCAGGACCTCATGCTTGCTAGGAAGGGGCTCCATTACTTGAGCCACTCTGCCAGCTCAGTTTTTGTGTTAAGTATTTCAAGACAGAGTCTGGAGAACTGTGTACCCTGGCTGGCTTTTAACCATGATCCTCCTGACCTTTGCCTTCTAAGTAGTTAGGATTACAGGCTTGAGACACTGGCGCCCGGCCTCCATTCTTGCTTTTTAAGTCAGTCCTTCACTCATAAGATAATTATTTAAATTTAAGCTCTTTCATCTAAAAATTTTCACTATCTTTTGTCATTCTAGTTCCTTAAAACCGCTGTTTAAATAGCCTATGTAAACTGAGGGAATTAAAAGATAGGTATTAATAAAGTTCTTCAGTACACTAATAAGCCTAATAATAATTTGTATCATTAACAAAAATGCTTTTTGCTTGGCTGTCTTTTTTCCCTCCTCCTATAGTTTTTCAGCCTCTAAAGAAAAGTGGCTAATGAGAAGTTTTAAATACCTTTTGACCTAGAAGCACCTATTCACCTTCTACAATAAATTAAAATTTTTACTCAGGGCATTCTCAGTGCTTACCTAGCAAGTACAAGGCCCTCTTGAGTTCAAACCCTAGTACCACCAAAAGAAAACCCAAACTTTTATTATACAAATTAAATTTTTTATTTTTGTCTTATAGATCATAATATTAATCTAGTATCAATGGAAGTAACAGTAAATGCTGTAGCCGGAGCCCTTAAAGCTTTCTTTGCAGATCTGCCAGATCCTTTAATTCCATATTCACTTCATCCAGAACTGTTGGAAGCAGCAAGTAAGTATAAACTTCCTTTTTTTGAGAAGTATGATGAAAATATTTTCCTCTAAACCACAATAAAATCAGAATACCTAGAGTGGCCCTTAAGAATATTCAGTTTTAGCCAGCCTCCCAGATGACTTCAGTGCTCCTCAGAAGATGCTGTATAAACTAGCAGTTTGTATTTTTAATTCAAACTCAAAGGTATTATAAGAAAAATAATCTTTCAAATAAATACATATGTAATGTGCTTTTAAGATTTTAACCTATATTTGGTCAGCATACATGTCTGTTTAAATTTTTTTTTTTTTTTACATTTACTCACATGTGTATACATTGTTTTGGCCACCTTCTCCCCTCACCCCCCTTCCCCCCTCCAAGCCCCATTTAAATTTTTTAAATCAAAGAAATTTACCTTGGCTTTGTGTCTTGAGTAGTTTTTGGAAAAAAGAAGGTAGGAACGTAGGGTACTTAACTCAGTGTTTATTTCTACTTTCACCTCAATCATTCACATGTTTCTAATAAGCACATGTTCATTTATTTGGAAAATGAACCTAAGGTCTATTTGGACATTAAGAAACTTAGCTCTTGATTTACATTAATGACTAATATTAATGTCATTTCTAAGTATTTTTTAATATTTCCTTTTTAATTGCAAGTCTTGAAGTTATTTTTAGTGAGATTATTTCATTTTAGTTTTGATTATATTGAAGTTCTTTTTTAAAAAAAATAAAATGCGACTTCATAATATCACAAGGTTGTAGTTGCTTTATACATACTCCTGTATGTAAACTGGGAAAGTAATTCAGTTGATAGCTTAGGTTGCCTTACTTCTTGACTGTAACCTCAGAATTTTCCTATTTAAAAATAGCACATTTTCAAGGACCACTTCAGAAGTAAAATGAGTTTGTTAGTACTTGATTATAACACTGTGATGATGGGATATCCACAGTGAACACAAATGAAAAGAAGAACAGGGAAGCAATCTCTTTATCTCCTTTTATTGCATTTATTGCAATTTTAACCACATTTCAGTTATCCTGTTTTATAGTTTGCATAAACTTGGAGAGTAAATATTAAATGTTTATACTTTCTGTAAAGTAAAATTTTTTGAAAAAGTGGATTACAAATTGTAATGTAGACAACTATGGGCTTGAGGGTCATATTAACCCTATCACTAATTTTTGGAAGGCCTTTGAGCTGAGAATGATTTTTACATCAAAATAAAAAGAAAATTTCATGATATATTAAAAAGTTTTATTAGAAAATAGCCAATGCTCATGTGTTACATATTGGCAGTTATTGCTTCAGCTGCAAGGTTACGTTGTTATGCCCATAAAGCCTGAAATGCTCTTTGTAGCAGAAATACTAAGAGGCTACCAAATTTACAAATAATTAGCTAATTCTAAATCAATATCTAGCTATATAAATTGCTAATATACCACTTTATCAGTGTTAAGTCACTTTCATCTTCAGTGAATAGCTTTATGTCTAAGAAGGCTACAAGCGATAATGTTAACTGAAGTGATTTCTTATTTAGATAATTTAGAAGGTTATTTGGCACTCTTTTGGGTTGTTGCTGTTTACTTATCCTAATATATTTCACACACATTCTTATTTTTTATAGTAAATGTTAGGAAGAAGCTTTTATCATATATTTTTAAATGTGTGAGTTTCATACAAAATTTTCACTTTTACAGAAATCCCAGATAAAACGGAGCGCCTTCATGCCTTGAAAGAAATTGTTAAAAAATTTCATCCTGTTAACTACGATGTATTCAGATATGTGATAACACATCTAAACAGGTACTTTGTTTTGTTTTACAAATAAAATGCTGTGTATATTTCAAACATGTGAACTGTACAAATTGGGTAGTTTTAAAACGGCTGCAAACTAAACATTGCTAAGTATGGTTCTCAGTAATGGTTATCTGTTTTCTGATTTATATCTAAAAAACTGTGTGATTCTTGTTATCTCACTTTTTCTTTAGTATTTCTCTTATATACAATCTTAGAATTTTAATTATAAAGTGGAGTTGAAAAAATTAAGGCTTGAAATGGTTTGTTTTGCCTTCTTCTACCATACTGTTTTGCTATTGTATAGGTATTTGCTTTGTTTAGGTATTCTACACAGTGAAATTTTATCACGTACTATCCTGTTACCTGAAATGGAAGGTACTAATCCTTATATTAATATCCCTAAATATGTTCAGCTTCAAGTTTATGCTTTTTTTTCTACAAAAGATTCTAATACCACTTATTAAATGAAAGACACTATTGTATTAATGGTTAAAATCTTAGGCAATGTAATCAAACCGGAGTCAGTTTGAAATATTGTTAGTTCTGTGACCTTGTACAAATTCCTTGTCCTTGCTAATTCTTGATTTTTTTTTTCTCAACTATAAAAAACAAATAACATCTCACAAGGTTGTTTTGAGGACAGAATGGGATTGTTAGTTTGGGTACTAATTTTTTCAAAATAATATTTTCTGGTAGTATTAGAGTATTTTCTTAGCATATATGAGACTCTGGGTTTTGATCCCTAACACCACAATAAATAAATAAAGAACTATACATTTTTTTTTTTTTTACTAATAATATCAAGGCCCAAATAAAGTTCATTTTAGCCTGTCCTTCCTGAAAGAGTTATTAGCCAACGTTTATTGCTGCCAAATTGTAATATTACAATTACAATATTAATTAGCCTTATTTATACCCCTTTTGTCTTAACAGAATATAAACTCAATATATGTTATTATGGTAGATTAGTGGAATTTCCCCTTTTGAGAAGTGACAAGTGGTTGGTAGTATAACAGTATGCATGGATACTGTAGGACACCTTACCTAATATGGAGTGTAAGGATATTTTCTGGCTAAAATAAGAATTAGACTTCATTTAAAAAGTAAAATTAAGCGTAAGAGGGCAGAGGCAGAGCATATTCAGTGAATCATAGTACTAGCCCACTATCAAAGTTAACTTTGATTTCATAAATATGTTTAAGAATTCTTTTTTGACTCTGGTGATACAATAAACAACATAGTCTAAAGCATATTTGATGCATTCAGGAACAGTAAGGAGGTCTATGTGAGTGGAGCAGAGAGTGAAAGATGGGTAAAGTAAAGAAATACGGTTAGAAGGGGCTTAGAGGTATGGCTTAAGTGGTAGAGCACCTGCCTAGCAAGTGCGAGTCCAAGTTCAAATCCCAGTACTACCAAAAAAAAAAAACGGAAGAAGAAAGGAAAAGAGGTGCAAGGTAATATAGGACGATACTATTCAGAGTTTGATCTGTTGACTAGCTTAAGTCTTCAGAATGATTTATTGAGTTCTGCTGAGTGTGTGTGTCTGTGTCAAGAGGTGAAACCATACTTTATGAAAGAAGCATTGCATGATTCTTAAGTGGTATGGAGATCCACTTAAGAGTAGATCAGAACAGTAAGCTAATCAGACTTAGGTTTTAAAAGGAATACTCAAATCGCCTGTAATTCAGTAGACCCTTTTTGTGCCACATGCTCTCAAAGTGCTAGGGACATAGCAGTGGACAAAACAGTTTCACACTATATGGGGCTTACATTCTAGTACAAGAGAAAAAACAGATGTATAATGGTTGACATATTGTCAGGGTTGTAAAAATTAACCGATGGAGTTATTCTTGGGTTATATTCTCTTTCACTCTCTATATCCAGTTAGTGTCAAATCCATTTTAAAAATTATTTTTTCGTGTTCTTTTCCTTACCACTGCTTTACCATTTCTCATTTAGGGACCTCCAGGGTTAACTGCAATTGCTCTTTCTCTGCCAGCTTTTCCTCATCCTCCCTTAATCCTGATGCCAGAATGATATTTCTAGAACATCTGTCTATAAGTAGTTCTTATTACTCTTATTTCCTTAGCTAGAATCTAAGTTACATCAAGTAAAGTTTGTTGTATTAAACTAATAGCAATTAACCAGGAGCATCAATTTGTATCACATCTTGACATGACTACCTCAGGTGCTTCTCAGTATGGTCACCAAAATGGCGACAACATCACCTTATTAAAAATACAAATAGCCATGCCCATCTACACACACACACACACACATACACATAATGAATCAGAAACTTTAAATACTTCCCAGCAGTTTGTGTTTTAACAGGCTCTCTAGGAAGTTCTCATAAAAGGTTTTTCTAACTGAACTTTCTTTCCTATTCTTCCCATGGCCATCACCCTTGACTTAAACATTACCTCCTCTTTGAAGCATTCTCTGATCACCCTCATTTCTAACTGATTTAGTCCCTTTCTGACTCTCCAATTAGACCTGTACCATGCTTCTTAAGTAGTACTGGGGGCGTTGAACTCACGGACTCACACTTGGTAGGCAGCATGAGCCATGCCTCCAGCTCTTTCTGCTTTTTGGTTATTTTTGAGATAGGGTCTTGCTTTATGCCTAGTCTGTCCGGGTTTGCATTCCTCCTATTTGTGTTTCCTGGTGCACCCAGAATGACAGGTGTGTACCACCCACCCTAGCCATTGATTGAGATGGGAATCTCATGAACTTTTTTGCCTGGGCTGGGCTCAAACCATGATCCTCCCCAATCTCTGCTTCCTGAGTAACTAGAGTTACAGGTATGAGCCACTGCACATGGCTTAATGCCATACTTTTTAATGTCTTCCATCTTTACAGATATTTTCAGAATGCCAGCTACATAGAAATGACAAATTGGTCCTACTAGCTCCTACCATCTATTAACCAACTAATATCCTAATAATTCCAAATATTCCACGTCTCTTAACAAATATAATGGCTTTTACCACAGAAGCCCCCCCTCACCACCACTCCAGGTGCCGAGCCATCAACCCAGGGCCTTTGCACATGGTAGGCAGGCAAGTTATTTACTATTGCCTTATATTCATCACCAGCCCCACAGAACACATTTTTTAGGCCAGTATTTTACCTCACATGACCAATTTCTATGTTTGGGAGTTTCTTTCGGTTTTGATTTATTTTAATTTGTAAATTTGAGATTTTCCTGCTACTCTACCTACTTCTGAACCATTTCTTTGTGTGTGAAATAGGAGGTTGGATAAACTCCCAGTTTATCCAGTTTACCCCACTTTTGAGCCTGCAGCCCAAGATTTACCTTTATATTTCTTATGAAAGATAATGATAGATGTGCTTGTTCACATTTTTAAAGGAGTGGATGCAAGTAAGTATGACCATTTGTAAATTACTGTTAAATTGTAAGAATTTTAAGGTAGAATGTGTTATGAATTGAGTGTTGTCTTTCAAATAAAATTTGTAATAGTGTATAAGATACTTCATGATTTAAAATATTGTTGTATGGACTACTAGAAACTTTTCAATGTTAAAATTATTCTTGGGTGGGTTATGATAAAGTAATTTTTCTAAAGCTGGTTTAGAGTTGCTACACCCTGGTTTACTTTTTTAATCTCCCACAATAGTCAAAATTTGAAACACAATTGGAATTAACTGTTTGGAAACTTGTTAGCATTTGTCATATGACCTTTTTACCTGAGGGGAAAGTTTTTTTCATAGGAATTAAGATTCCTTCCATATGTAAATTTAAGGGGAGAAGGGGTACAACTTTTTAAAGGACTGGTGTTCTCATAATGACAGATTTTTATTGCTCTCTCCTGTTTTAGGATGTAGTTGAATGTAGAATGCCAAGATAAAAATGTTTTAAATTTGAAGGTGGTATAAAAATTAGCAAACACTTAGTAATCTGAGCTCTTTTCTAGTTCTGAGATTTTCTAATTATAATTAGTTCTGATTCTTGTTTTCTTCTTTCATAATTTCAGGGTTAGTCAGCAAAATAAAATCAACCTAATGACAGCAGACAACTTGTCCATCTGTTTTTGGCCAACCTTGATGAGACCTGATTTTGAAAATCGAGAGTTTCTGTCTACCACTAAGATCCATCAATCTGTCGTTGAAACATTCATTCAACAGTGTCAGTTTTTCTTTTACAATGGAGAAATTATAGAAACTGTGAACACTGTGGCTCCTTTACCACCTTCAAACCCTGGACAGTTGGTGGAGTCAATGGTACCACCTCAGTTACCACCACCATTGCAACCTCAGCTGATTCAACCACAATTACAGACAGATCCTCTTGCTATTATATAAATAGGGAGTAATTGCAGACAGCCTGAAATTGGACAAAAAAGCAAATCTAGACATGCATGTTTCAGGGTTCAGTAGTATACTTCATGTTTCATACAAATAATTCACATTCAAAATGATGGAACATTTTCTCTTTGAGCTATATGGTAGTCCTTACTCACTTACATTACAAATCTAAGACCATGTGGTAAGCATGACGAGAGGTTTAATTTTTATAAACAGAAATAGCTATAAAATACAAAGCTGCTGCTGCATGCAACCTTATTGCAATCAGTATATCATTCCTGTGGCAATTTCTGTCACATTATATTGTGAATAAAATTTTTCTATAGAAATTAAATGATTTAAAAACTCACATATATGAAACATTTAATGCTTTTTCAGCCTGCTTTATGGCTGGTTTTGTTACTTGATGTGCTAATTTGGGCAACTTAATTTACATTCTAGCAGTCTGTGTAGATAACTAAAAAGCCCAGTTTGAGTATTTTATAATTTTAGGCTACTTATGCCATGCTTGGGATGTTGTTTGAAAGAAAGAAAAAAAAATACGTGTAACAAATTTCACATTTCCACACCTTCATTTTACTTAGTAAACCTGTGGGTGATTTGATGAGGGGTAAATGAACCTTTTTCTTTGTGCACATACCAAGGGACATACATGCTTGTGGCTAAAGTGAGTTGATGATGTGGTGCAAGGGATAGTTGTCACCAGTTCATTTCTTTATGGTCCATAATGAAATAAACATTTTGTATACGGTTAATTCTGTAAACAGATGCATGTTCAAAAGATCTATAATGGTCTTGTAATCTTAATCTAATATATTTTAGATATTTTAATTTTTTCCCTCTTTGGGAATACATTTAGTATAGTGTAGAAAAATACTTCATGGCATTTTCATATAAGGTTATATAACTTTTCATACATAAACATGAAATTTGTTGTAGAAATTCTTTAAACCAAAATTTTAATCTAGGACTTAAATTTAATCTGTTCTTTAAATCTATTTTTATGTGGCCCTTAAGAACATATCCAAAAATTCCATTGCTAATATAGCAATAAAAATACTTTGGGTACTGACAGACTCGTTGGAGTGTGTATATAAAATCACAAACTTGTATTCATATTCTTTCCTGTGATGTGTTGTATTAAAATCCAAAATAGCTTTTGCACCATTTTTTAAAAGTTTTTTTTTTCTTTGATGTTGGTATCAGAGTTGCTACAAATGACTGCTGCTTTTGGAGTTAAATATTTTATTAGTGAAGTTAACCAGAACACTAAATTGTGGGTAAAATTTTCAGAATGGGTGGCACAGGTAAATTTTGTTAGGCTTTATTCAGAATTCTTTAAAAAACCATGCCATCCCTCCCCCTCCCAGGAAAAGGAAAAAAATGGTTTGTTTTTCTATTGCTAGGTCATATTTTGTGTAGTAAGGAAGAAATTATCTGGTCAATGTTGTAATCTTCATACTGCAATTTTAAGGTTACCTTATGTGTATAATAGTAAATAGATGATTTTGAGATTTAAGGCTCCTAAGAGTTTGATTTGCCCCATTTTTTCCTAAAATAAATATTCTTTCCCAACTGTTATGTCCTAGGTATTGTATTTGCAATTTCAACTTCAGAACCAAGATGTCGACGTGAACCAGGCTGCTGTTGAAGTACATGTATATTATAAATTATCTTTTTTGTGTTAATACTCTTACATGTTATTATCTTTTCTAAGAAAACAAAGTCCCTATTATTCCTATTGCAAAGCACACAGGAATTGAGAAAGTACAGTAATTTTTAAGAAAAATCCGGTAAATGTAGTATTCTTAACTTGTTCTATATTACTTATACCTGTTGTCTATATAGCTTTAATTTATAGCTGTCAGTTTAACATTGGCATGTCTGGCAAAGAAAATTAAACTTTAAGAGTTTTATAAACTGTTTCTAGGTTGCTAAAGAATTTATTTTTCTACTATATATGGTATAGACAAAGCATCAAACTATGTACAGGAAAAAAAGCCTGACTTTCTTTTGGAAGTAAGCTGAACAGAATTTTCAGAACTGTTTGTGTCTTTGGCTCATTCTGTCATAACTTTGCTATTGTAATATGTGAATCCCAGTTTATTTAAGCTATTCTTTTATACTATGTTAATTTAGCATTCATCTGCATTTAGTACCATTTTTGTTATTAAATTAGCTTTTACCATTCCACATTAACCACCTTAAACCTTTCTGAGAACTTTTCTCTCCTTTTCTAGGCATTCTGTCATTGATTTGAAACACTTCATAGTGATTCATTTAAATATTCTACATTTGGTTCAATTAGCCAATAGGTTATCGAAAATTAAAGTCCGATTTAAAGCTCAGTCTGTTACGCTGAACTGATTGTGTTTGCTGTTGCCAGGGGTTTAGATATGTTTTTAATTATTAGAAAAATAATTATAAGAACAGAATAACATAATTAAGTTAACTTTTTCTGGTAAGTTACTGAAACATTTAACAGTTTAAGAACATATATGTGAGACTTCTTAAAGGATTAAAGTCAGTCTCATAATTATGGGTAAACATTAAAGCATTATATTTTACAATATTAAATAAAATTTCATCGACACACGTTGCCATTGTTTCATTTAAAGTTCAGTGTTTAGGGTTATTACAGTATTGGATTTTACAGTGTGTAGATTAATAGTATAAAAAGCATAATGTTAACTTGGTTTCAGACTTTCTCAGCAGACACTTAGGATATACAAATAATTTAAGAATAAAGTTCCAGGCACAATTTCTGTTTGAAATGATATTTGTAGTAGTGCTTCTTCCCCTTAACATTTACAATGTAAATAATGTAGGTAACAGCAATCTAACTTAGCAAAAAAAAAAAAGCAGCTTTTATTTTCCATACTGTATGTAAATAATGTAGATCTTTTAAAAAAATTTTTTGAGGTACTGGAATCTTAATTTCTAATATCTCTTAGATATAAATAAAAGGGAACAATTGGAATAAGAACTTAGGC